TATACATGTAGTATACCGTCACATGTATGTGTACAGTGTCACAAATTACACCATGTGCAATTCCTGTGATATAAAACATCTTTGAAATACTAAATATCTAATGTTAATATGCTTTTGGTAAAGCATTTTTGAGGCACATGTTGAAATTGAAATCAAGGCACATGGTAAACAAATGTTTTTCTTGTCATACTTCTAATAAATTATAAAGAGAGTCAATCGCATATCATCCAAATATAAATTAAATGAATAACACTGTACAATTCTAAAATGAACACAGCACAAGTTTTAATGACCACTCAGGCAGCAAATGAATGAATGCATTGGCTGACAAATAGATTTTTAAGGCACTTTTCCAAGGGCAAGTACATAGCCAATTTTCCAAGGGCAAGTGCATGGCCAAAATTCACTGGCCCTGCATGGATTTTTGATTGCCAGACCATATTATACATATATCACATGGGTTTGAGGGTAACATAGCAGAATATTTGCCCCAGTGTAACAGGAATGCCCTAGAGTGTTAGGTCACCCGATGCCGAAGGCAAATAGTGAGTACATCATGCAAGCCCCAGTTAAATCAATGGCTGGCTCACATATGTGATTTTATTAGATAAAATTCCACCCCTGAAATTCACTAGCCCCGTGCGTTTGGCAATGGGATTTGTTTTCCCAGCTGGAATAATTATTTGACCTGTGTCTATAGTGAAATAATGATACACCAAGGATAATTAAATTAATGAATTTCTAGGTAATCATACCTATATTCTGTATCTGATATTTTACATTAAAAAGTTTATATTAAAAGTTTATAGATTAATGTGTGTCAGTATGAAAATGTCAATTTAATTTAAAGCCATAATAAAAAAAATCCTAGATTCTCAGTCAGCCCGCGACCAAATCCCCCCCCCCCTTTTTTTTTACCCCTGCTTCAAATCAAATTTTTTCTGTTTTTATGTCATAATTCTGATCGGGATCGGTATTCAACGTTCCTTCAACTTTCGTTTTCAATCCCACAAATGACTAGACTATAAGCCTGGCTATCTGAATTGCACTATATTTTGGAAATACCAGTCTAGTCAATGATGGCATGATTTTGAAAGCTGATAAGATGGTAACTGCTGTAATATATACACTGTATTAAACAGTTTAAGGAACATTGGTTGTGAAGGATACTATTACTTTTATTCTGGCATTCTAGAGAAATCTGCATTGATAAATCTGGTCAACAAAAAATCTGTATAATTGAAAAAATAATATCAAAGTGAATCCGCTTGCCTGCCTTGATATTTTAAAAGAAATTATTGAAAATGTAGAATTTTTTTTAATTATATGGCCTAAATGTAATAATGAAACAAGATTTTGTTAACATTCAGGGGTCCCTGCTTTAATTTTCAACTTAATGATTACCATGTAGTGCAATTTAAGCAAAAGTCAGCTAGCTCAGTGAGATAAATGTTTTACTTGACTCATGTAAATAAGCATATAACTGTGTTAATTAAATTTGACTGTAACATATATGAACTTTTTAACATAATATGAAGTCACATACATGTGATATATACGGGCGGTACGCAAAATGTCACGAATTTTTTACCCCATTCACGGGCTCACGGCAGTACACCAAAATTCATGGGAAATGAAAATTTGTACTGTATTTTGAACTTTTGAAATCACCATTTTTCTCTCATTTTCTCAACACCGAATATCGTGACTAACTCCGCTTGGGTATGTAATGTAAAATCTAAGCCCGACTTTTTTTTTGTCTGCTAAGGCATAAGTATTATCAATTATCATGATTATAACACAGAGTAAGAGAAATGATTTTAGTATCATTAAATAAATGCAGATGACTGGAGCGACCAGACTTTTGCATTTAACACTGTACTATGGAAGTCTTTTTACTAAGTTCAGCACTAAGCACATGGATTGCCGAAATTTTTAATGCTGCAAAAGTTTCTTGAAATTAGTTATTGTATATATAACACTGCATGCAGTGGTACACTTGTACACTGATTTGAAATTTATTAATAAAAAATTAACTTCTCAGTTGATTTTTCGGCGGAATGCAGATAGTTTGGCTTCGAGGGTCCAACAAAACACATTTTGCCTGAGAAATCGGTCAATAAATGTTTTGTTATACCTTTCATTTTATTTTGTTTTTTGACATACATTTATTTTGTACTGTCTTCCATGGTGTAACATCGGGTCCGTCACTGTTGAACACCAACAAATGAAAATGAGATTAAGCCTCACCGATTCTGTGACGTAAGCTGTCAACATCTCACTAACCGGTCAAACATCTCACTCAGCGGTCCAACATCGATTTTTTTCATGCCCGCTCAGCAAAACATTATAGAAATGTTTAAGACTTTTTTTTCGTATAGACTTGTATACCGGGATAACAATGTGCAGTATTTTCACCCAAATTCCAGTATTTTCAAGGCGCTTGTACAATATTTGTCTAAAAATTATCACATGTATGAATCTCCAAACAAAGAGTACTCTATTAGAGGTGGAACAATACAGCGATACATCAATCGTATTGATCGCAAGTTCTCACATATGCATATTGTATCGCCTTGTATGTAGTGACACAGAACAAGTTAATCTTCATTGTCTAAGAAATTTTAATGCTACAGAATATTTGAAAACAGGTAGCAACGAAAAAAATGCAATGCTAATTAAAACTATAAGTCCACCTATAAATAATGAGAAGTTATATTCTCAAAAAATTCTATTCTTTTATATTTTCTATAAATGTGGAGGTTAGCAAGCAGGCTGATGTAAAGATATCACTTAACTTAATTGCTGACAGCTGTATTTGGTATTGTTGAACATTGTTGAAAATGATTATTAAAGCTTTTGCTGAAAAGCAAAATCAAATCTGTATTATCTCTGAAAATGAACAAGATGTAGCAAAATCTCTCCAATTGATGCTTTTCAGGAGGACGTTCAGTCTGTACATTTTGAATAGATACCCATGTTTCTTTAATACTATGCATCTGTATTATTTGAAGTCCCAATTAAAGAAATCTATTAGGCTATATGCTAAACAATGCTAAAAGGAATATATTTTCCTCTTATGCAAATGCATGGATTCATGATTTCATGGAACTATTTAAATAATCATAAATTACTATATAAAAAAATATTTTTAAGTGAGAAAAGTAGATAAAAGTTCATTTGTTATATCATATAATTGAAACCATGAGGATACAGGGGAAAACTTGTATCCATTGATTAGACAGTTATGAGTTTTAAACAAATTCTTTCACCCTTATCTTTAGAAAAAGTAAATGCCCCAATGACAAGAGAGGGTTTCAGCGTGTTTCTTAAGTAACTGAATTTTGTCCTTTTCAGCTAGATCATTAGACATGTCCTGCAACATATTTTTCAATTCTCTTTGTCTTTTACTTATTTTAGTTTGAATCTTGGCCAGTGATTGATCCAAGGAGGCGGAGATAAACTTGTCTTTTGGATGATATTTAGACAAGCGCCTATACTTCTTGAATTCTTCAACTTCAGGTGATGCTCCCAAGATCATCTCAACCAAAGTTTCTGTGTTCAGAATTTGGCCTAAAAAATAATGCTATTTTTTAAAAGAAATTGTTTGCCCTTATTGTAATACAGTGTATTAATGAAATTCAACATTTCAACATATTCAGAAATATACACTATAATTTTCAGAAAAAAACTTTTCATTCATCAACTTAAGTTCTGTAATACTTATATAGATGGAAAAGCAACCTAATTTGTTTGAATAATGTAATTTTCAGAATACCTCAGATTTGGTAGAGAGCTGCAAATTTTGACCTATACTCAGAGTTGTAAACAGTGAGAAATCATTTTCTTAATTAAGGTCTTCCGTTTCCAATGGAAGACCTTCTACTGATTCTGAAGATTAAGATTATTAGGTCTTTCCACCTTTCTGTGGAAAGACCTATTGATATTCTTCTGTTTATTATTCTTTTTTTTTATTATTTTTCCGCCGCATGTTTTTTTGTTTGAAGATATATCGAAAAGATTTATAGTTCATAGGAATGTACTCCGTAAAAGATGTTTGCAGTTGACCCTGCGTAAATGAACCTTGACCGCTTTCGAAGTTATTGCCCCTTTCGCAAGAAATGATTGTTATCGCTACTCCTCAGAAACCGTAAACCGCAGAGGTATGAAACCTTTACGAATGTCTTCGACTAATTAAGGGGACTCTTCAATCTATTCATTGCGAAAGTATTCGGTGACCCCTTCTGTGAGTTATTGCCCCTTAAACTTTTTAAATTTTACAAATAATTAAAAATTTTCAAAACGAGAAGTGATAGAGACATGGGACCAACTGCATAAGATTAACTGACCTTTGACCTTAAAATTCATGTAAAGGTCAAAGGTCAAGGTCATTCCAAAAATGAGAAAATTAGCTCTTTTTGTATCTCTTTTGTCTTTCAACATATACTTAATGTCTATGCATCAGTGATATGTACTCTTAAAACTGTTTCAAAGATTTCATTCTTGTCCCCTAAGATTGAACCTTTTAAAAGTTATTGCCCCTTGTGCGAAAAACCTTGTTATCGCTACTCCTCTGAAACTGTAGACCCTACAGACAACAAACCTTCACTAATGTCTTAAGGGTCTTTAGACCTAACTTCATTGTATAAGTGCAAAAGAATCTGATGACCCCTTATATGAGTTATTGCCCTTTAACTTCTTTGTACTTACTATTAAACCTTATAACTTGAAAACTATAAGTCGTAGAAGCATGTGGTCAATTGCATTGTGACCCTTGACCTTTGACCTTGAATATTTTTCTCAAGGTCAAAGGTCAAGGTCATTTCAATTTTTTTTTCTTTTAATTTTCATTTTTTCTATCCTTTAGGACAATTTGGTTTCTTATTCATGAAATCTAATTTTTAGGAGTCAGATATAAAACAAAATTGAAAAATTCAAAGAAGGTGGAAAGACCTCTTATTGTTCTGTGAACAATAAGTCTCCTAGTTCTTATTATTCTTTTTTTCGTTTTCTTCCTAGACGCCAACTTTGAAGCCTCATATCTCACTCATTTCTCGATGGATTTTGTTCAAATTTTCAGACATTATAGACGGTAATAAACTCTATCAGAATGCTGTCTAAAATTTTAAAATTTTACTTCCGGTTATGAGTTATTTCCCTTTAAACGAAAAATTATAGGCTTTCATTTCCAGACAAAGGCTCAGAGACCACTAGAGCTGGAGCAGAAATTTTACCGGTTTTAGATAACAAAAGGATTGAATTTGTGCACATCGGTTTTTGTTTTTCAATTTCTGTATTCAAAATGGTGCTATACAGGGGTCAAAAAATAGAACGCCTAAAAGAGCGAAAATTTACACATGTTTTCCTTTTTATCTTGAAAACTAAAAATATTTTGTTAAGACATGTTGAACAGAAGTTATGCATAATTGCAAGGACTTTCATATGATACTATTCAAAAGGGGCTGGCCCCTATGATTAGGGATTTAGGGAGCTTGAAAGTTTTTGCTTTATAACTCAAAAACGGTAAATATTTCGATCTGGATTATACGAACAAAATTGTTCTTTGACACCTTTTTAATCTGATGAAAATGTTTTGTGTTCGATTATACCGGGGGTATTGCGTAATACGTAGTTGAAAGCAGGCCAGGTAAACAGGTAGCGTTTTTCATTCGGAAAGGAAATCAGACTTTTCATGTGTATAATTTACACTAACTTCCAATCAGTAATAAACCCTATGGTATTTAATGTTTATTTTCTTCTAAATAGGGCTTTATACGTGCTTTACGGTTCACTATTAAATTATTTATAACGATTAGTCTTTCTTTTTTATTTATCATAAATTAGTTTTATAGTGAACACGTCTTCATAAACGGAATATATTAAATCTTTCTTTCTACATTGATTATTATAACAATAATAAGTTATTTTAACTTTATGCATCGAATAATTCACGATCATTAGTTGTATACATTTGGCGATCTCCAAGATCGCCTAGATGTTTGTAACAGTTATGTAATCCAACGCGAAATCCCACGCTGTCGATCGAGGTCACTAGTGTACCAGCCACCTGTAGTAAACAATGCAAGTGTCTGTGATCGTGTTTAAAATCCATTGTGTACAAAGACCTATCAATTTATAGAAAATCATGTTTTTAATTTATCGAATCAATAAGAACACTTCACCGATCTTTCATTTAAACAATATTACGCGGTTTATGTATTTTTTCTGCAATAGCTGCGACCGTTCATTCCAGTAACAACAAACAAAGAAAGCGTTTTATTGTTTATATTTATATCTGTTTAAATAATCAATTAAAGTAGGATTTAAAAGATTATTGTACATGTATTAATGATGCGAACGTCTTTATATGTTTCATTGATGGAACAGCCACTGATTAAGAAATCTGTACAGGCGACCTGCCTATTGTATAGTTTATGCAGTGATGAACGCAATGGGGTTTCTTAAGAAATAAAGGAGAAAATATTCAGTGGATGTAAATATTTAATCGTAATTCGAAACACTTATGCATGAAATCATTTTGAATTGTGATCGCTTTCTTTGGCCTGTTCACGCAAAATTATTTCTCTATTCCGTTTTAATGTATTTTATTTAAATTGTAATTGAAAAGGGGCTTCGGCAAATAATTATAATTAGTGATGGAAGTCTTGTGATACGTAATATACTATTATGTACATTTTATTTTTACCATCACTCTTTTGTTTCTCCGTTATTTTTTTTAATATTAATAAACATTGAACGTTAAAAAAATACTTTAAAATATACTATTATTCACGTATTTGTAATAAACAGTTTACATCCAGCTTTGTCACTTTGTGTCTAAAATTTTGTAGCCCAGTCCTCATTTACAAGCACGTGTCCGCAGATAGCAGCGGGTATGTGGATTTGAAAATCCGTTGTGTACTCCGATAGTTACAAATGGAAAATTGGGTTTGAATTCAAGTCAACTCCTTTCATATCATTCAATTCCACTCTATTTCAGCTTGTTTTAAAATCAATCGTAATCGCTTGTGGATTTATTCATTTCAAGTTTTATGCCTTTTGATAGCTGAAAAAAAAACACGAGCTACGTTTACATCATTTTTTCCAGTATTTATTGAAGTGGTAATTGTTTTATGAATCTTAAACTACATGTACACATGCATGATAATTGTAAGTGAAGTTAACGTTTCTAATTCACAGGGGGAAATCCAAAATGACATTAAGCACTTTTGAGTTTGCAGTTATTTGCTACTAAACTTAAAATGATATTGTACAGAATGGTATACTATTTCGTCCAATAAACAGAATATTTTACATGCCTGTACATGTACAATGTCAGTACGAATTTAATTGATGCAAAGCATCAAATTGGCTACAAAGCAAAAAAATTCTTTCACATGCAAGGATAGCACAACAAGATATTCAAAGCTGAAATAGTTTTTCAATTCTATTTCAGGCTGTTTTCAAAGCAAAATAAAAAATAATTTTACCGCATTTGCTTATAAATAGATTTATCGATGTTAAAAAAATTCATGTTCATTGATGTATAAGAAGAATTTATTGTCATCAAAATGAAGGTGTAGGCCTGTCCGAGCCTCGATACCCTGAATCTTGATTACATGATAATGCTCATGGTTTCTGCAGAGCAGGCTATGCTGTAAACCGCAGTGCAAAATTAAAGAAAAATATCTTCATGATCTTTGTGTCATTTGTAGATGTAGAGGAAATTCAAAACAATTTTTACTAGAAGTTGAAAAACTCCAAATTTTTTTATTCACCATGCACTTTAACCACATCATCATTATCCGGAAAATCAAGAGATTTCTTTTCAAATCTTACACACTCTCAGGCTGGGGAGTATCTGATGTAAACTCTTTTTATATGACCATAAATTACCGATGATCATGAGATATTAATGACAATGAAATAGAAATATATTTCAACATTCAATACTAAGTTTAAGCAAGTTTTTAAAATATTTTACGCATGATTTTTACTTGTTATAATTTTCGAATAATTTTATTGAAATAATAAAAAAAAAACGTCTCATTTCCCCATGTGCACTCTCTTACACAATCACAAAAAGATTGGCCGCTACCGCAGCCGATAACAATTACATGTTTTATATTTATGAACTTTTACATAGAAGAGCGGCCAAACATATACATCCAGAGCTTTCAGAATACGATTTTACAAAATTAGAAAATTCGTTATTGCCTATTTATCATAAAATATAAATTAAATTCTTTCCTTAATTATTGAATTCCTATGTATTTAACTAGGTACTTAAACTATCGATTCGCTCTGATATTTGGTTGTATAATGATTACAATGTATATAAACGTCCATCTGGTCAGTCATTGTTGCTTGACGACGTCTTGTTTTCTCCTCTCACATTGAACAGCGGTATAAACACAAGCTTGTAGTTGTAAACAAAATAAACGGCAATTCACAAAAAAGGAAAGCCAGAAGAAAAAATGTTTCTGTGTAGATGAAAAACACAACTCATTAATTTGTTTTTG